GCTCTATATCTCGAAACAGATTCCCACTGCCAGAGATGGTTAAACCTTGATTGTCTTTGGTAAGTTCTTTTCCACGGGGTAGCAAACAGAGCCTTTGAGAGTGTGCGAACTTTGAGGCACTGCCTTCTCATCATGTGACCGTACTTTGGCGCACTTGGTCCGTGATGGCGCAGTTCATCTGTGTAAGCAACTTGACAGATGTCCTTACTGAGGCATCAAATTGGATGGTGTCTGCTAACAAATCTAATGGGAACAAAGAAAAGAGAAATCGAAGGATTATCTTTTTTTTTAAGGATTAAATTGGTGCCATTTAGCTGTTTGATACCCTGTAGTTAATGCAGCTTTATTAGAAGCCTACACAATTCTTCACATGGGTGTCAAAATAATTTTAGTGAAAATCATGTTGTGTGGACTGATCAAGCCGAAGTATCCGTCTTGTGATTACAGACGGGTTTTGTCTGGGCTGCTCTACTTTCTTCCAAGCCTTTTGCTGGACAAGCGAGAATTAACAATCTCCATTAATTTACTTTGGCACTTCACACGGGTAGACAGGCCATGAACACGATGGTCTTTAATAAATTTTTTTAGAAATCCCGCAATGCTCCTTTTTAATTGATGTCCTTCACAAATTGTATTTGCCGAAGCTATAATTATTCATCAAGCCGCAAAAGCAAATCTACCTCCAGGTACAATGAAGATGTGCTTTTGTGAAATTATTAAGATACAGAAGTTTGACATGCAGAGTAATTCCGTCCTGCTTTATAATTATATCTTTGGGGATTATATCTTTGGGGATCACATCTATTAGAGCCTATCAAAGTGGAAAGGACCGATCATCACCAGTGTACTTCATAAATGCCCCTGCCTCGCAGTGACCATTCCCCCAATGTGTAAGCTCTTTGAAACACTTGGAATTGGTCTGTTTCTTAAGAAAGAAGCATTAAGGAATGTTTTTACGTGCTCTCCGTCGTAGGTAACTCTGTTTCACCTGACGTTCCTTCAGTTGATTTGAAATATTTTGTTTTGACTCCTGAAATCACGGTAAATAATCTTAATGTGGCTGAACTGGGGGATCTTCAAAGGAACATCAGTGGAGAGCTACCACCTAGAAAACTTGGAAGTCGGCCAAATTACGAAAGCCCAGAATGAGTAATTTAGAAATTCTTATTTAGGTGATTCATAAAAGGCGTAAACTTTACCATGGTGCAAAATGAGGATGTTAGCTTCTTGTAGGAAGTATTTGGGAAAGTAAAAGAATATTGTCAATAAGGGGTTTGGAACAAGGTTTCCCAAAGTGTTCCCGCAGACTGTTGTGGGGGAAACCAAAAGAGGTGTCCCATGGCAAATATGGGGGGAAAGGGGAGGTTTGCTATCTCCCACTCAAAGAAAACTGTGAGCTGCATCCAGGTAGGAACTTTGTCATCTTTCTCACCGTTTTGTTGCCAGAGCCTAACGCAGTGCCTTGCACACAGTAGGCACATAAATAAGTGTTTGCTGTGAATGAATGAGCTGCAGGACTTCTTGGAACGTTTGCCTGGTGTAGTGGGCACAGGGACTCATAAAAGAGGGGCAGTAGTCTGCAGCCTTTCTCAAACTTATGGGCTTTGCAACTCTGCAACTCTTTTCTTTAAAAAAAATTTTTTTTAAATGTTTATTTTTGAGAGACAGAACACAAGCAGGGGAGGGACAGAGAGAGAGGGAGACACAGAATCCAAAGCAGGTTCCAGGCTCCAAGCTGTCAGCACAGAGCCCGACACAGGGCTCGAACCCACGAACTGTGAGATCATGACCTGAGCTGAAGTCAGAGGCTTAACCGACTGAGCCACCCAGGCGCCCCTGCAACTCTTTTCTTAAGGAGCATTCTGCTAGACTTAGGTACCTGGAAACACCTCCTGGGAGACTGTAGCCTTGAGTGAGAGGATAAAAACCAAGTTCTAACATTGAATTCATCGCTGAGTGAAATATTCAAGGTTCCGTGCCTATTGAAATGTTAAGAGGGGTACCAGACTCCAGTATTTACCTCTGTGATTTGGGGCATGGACCCCTTGAAGCCTCAGTCTATTTATCTATAAAATAGGGATAATTTCCTTTTTTCTAACTTGTTCTTGGGAAAATAAATTACATTTAGTCCTGCTTGGGAGAGTTAAATGAAATAATGTATGTAGAAGGCCTCTCAGGGTAATTAGAATGTGATCAACCTTTCTCCCCCTCCCTCTCTCTTCAGCAAGTGTTGGAGTGCTTCTAATATGCCTGGCATTGGTGCCAGTTTGTGGGGAGACAGCAGTGAACACAGTGAAGGCCCTTTCCCTCATGGACCTAGGGATTTTTTTGTAATATATTCTGTTTACCGATGTCACTGTCTCTTCGAACGTAAAGTAAATTTAATTGTACACAATTCAGTTAAAGCTAATTGTTCTGAGGTCATTATATTAGAGATCTGCCCCCAAAGGATCACTTTTTCTCTCAGAATCAGATCTGTTCTTACACAAAATGAGTAAAGCAGGATTCATAGGTCACATTTTAAAATAAAGCAAATTAAATTAAGCTAGTGTTACCAGATAAGGTAAATCAAATGGAAAGTGGCATTCCTGTCATCCTGATCAATTTAACGATGCTGTAGGGTGGCCAAATTTAGCAAGTAAAAATACACAATATAGCAGGGTATAGTTGAATCACAGATAGAGAATACTTTTTTTTAGTATAAGTATATCCCAAATTGTGCATGGGACATACTTACACTTTGAAAGTCGTGTATTTGAAAGCCAAATTTAACTGGACAGCCTGTATTTTATCCAGCCACCCTACCACGCTCAAGCAGGGACCCAGCCACCTGTGCAAGAGAAAGACCCTTCCCTGCACAAGTCAGTATCTGAGGCCATATTTGTAGGGGAGATACGTTACCCCCAGTGGAACAGCAACCCTTGCTTCTATTTGAAATGATTTATAACTGTTCCCGCCCAATGGCCAAGTGTTTCCAAATTAAAAGCCATTAATTAAGGCCTGCTATAGATACAAAAGATATGCAAGGAGTGCTTTGTAATTCCAGCTCAGTACTTCAGGTGAGAGCTTTTCAAATTACGTGGACCACTGGAGCCACCTGCTTGACTAAACGCAGCGCGGCCGTCGCGTGGCTCGTCAGCACACCGCGGTGCCAGCGTCGTTCCTGATTTTTCTCATTTCTCCAGGGCAAATACTAATTAATGGATACAATTCACAGCTGATTAGCTGTAGTTTCTTCAGTAATTACATTCGCATACTAACTGTTCAGAAGAGGATTTCTAACCCAGTTCTTATTTTACTCTAAGCTTAATTTGTTTTTTGAATTGTTTAGGCCCTTAGTTTAATAGCCATTTTATTTTTCTTTGTTGTTTTAGGTGCTATTAGGTAATAAGTGAGTTTAATCTTAAAAAAATACTCTCTGATAATGAGCTGCTTTCCTTAAATGGATTTCTAATTCCCCAACAACACGTACATTTAAATAACGTTAAAGCTGGGTGGCAGGCTTTGGGCCGCTTGCGGGAGGCATGGAATGAGTGCCTGGAAGGCACATGGTGACCGAAGTCCTCATAAACATCCAAAAAGAATAGTCAGAACGGAGGCCCCGAGATTTAATTCTAGGATCATTAATTCATCAAAAATTCCCAGACAGAAACCTGTGCTTTTGCTTGCATGCATTTAATGTCGTAGGAAAAGGGGGGGAAATGTGTCTGTGTATGTGGGCGGGAGGTGCAGGTGCGTGCGCACCCGCCCACGCAGGTACCTTTTTTCATTTTAAAATTATTTTAAAACCGTTTTATTGAGATATGATGGGCATACCACAAGCGGTACCTATATAACGTATATGCACCTTGATGGGTTTGGACATAAGTATGTGTTGGTGAAACCATCCCCACACGTTTTGGATATCCCGTGCCTTCAGAGAAACTAGGTAAAGGTCTCTCTTAAGTGCTAACAAATACATCTTTCAGAAATCCTTATAAAGATGTTTATCCAAATGAATCTGAAGCTCATTGCGTGAGTATGTATTTAGGAGTCGTTTTACAGGGTGGGATTTTGCTTCCGGAGACCACAACAGCACTCTGGAACCATTAGAGCCTTCTGTGTAAATCCTGCTTAGTGCTTGGATCCCTGACATGATAAAGTGTAGCATGTCAGTTGGGCTTCTGTGCACGAATCCTACAGGTTCAGAGTCAGGGGCCGAGAGCCCCCTAGAAATAAGTGTTGGTGGGTTTACTACGAGGAGAATTATGTGGATCTTCCATATCTATGTGTCTATATTTATTCTCTACATTTATCTATCTGTGTATCTGTATTTCTTTTCTCTCTCTCTCCCTCTCTCCTTGGGGAAGTTATGCCTTTTACTTAATTTTTTAAATGTTTTGTAAAGTCTATTTATTTTGAGAGAGAGAGCAGGGAAGGAGCAGAGAGAAGGAAAGCCAGAATCCCAAGCAGGCTCTGCACTGTCAACATAGAGCCCCACGCGGGGCTCGAACTCACAAACTGTGAGATCATGCTCTGAGCTGAGATCAGGAGTCAGACATTTAACTGATTGAGCCACCCAGGCTCCCTGCCTCTTAGTTTAAATAATTGATAGCTCTATTTACATGAGAGAATGGATGTATACATTTCACCCTTTGCAGACCAAACCTTTATGTTACTTGATGCACTGAAGGAAAGAAACAGTACACGTTACAAAAAGAAGGGCATTCTTTTACCACTTCATAAAATCGTGAAAATAATATAGCCCCAGATAATTATGCTCACAGAGCCTTTCCATATTGCCAGACTGATAACAGAATGTTTAAAGCAACAAAACGCGCCTCCTTATACCATCTGAACCTGAAAATACATTTCTGGCAAAATCCCAGTTTTACATTTTGATAACAGGTCTCTAGCAGTAAAGAGCTTACGTCTGAAATGCTGATACAGTCTTATTTGTGATGGTATGAATGGGCTATTGTGTTAGGGAATTAAATAAAAATTGCTGTGTTCATAGGATTCCGTTTATATTTTAAACCTCTTTGCACTTAATGTTACATCGAGAGATTAAATATCACTGTTTTCAACAGCTCTGATGGATACAGATATCGTTTTCAACTCTGTTTGGAGATTTGAAAAATATTCTTTAGTCTTATTATTTATTTATATTCATGCCACACCCCATTCGCTAGAAAATAGAATTTGAGTCCTGGGAATTGGATTCTATTCCCTTTAATTCACATCTTAACCTACTCACACTCGTGACATCTGTTCTTGAAAAGTGAGCTATGAAATCTCAACATGCTGTAAAAATGTGTCAAGGTGGTTTTCTTGGAAACTTTTCCTTCTCCTCTCTCACAAATGCCAGTTCAGTAAACAACACCCACTAGTGACCGGGCGGCCAGAGGTTCGTCATGGTCTCCCTTCGCTGTTAGTCTTGGTGAGAATCAACCCCGTTTCCCAGAATTCTCAAGTTAGCTTGACTCTCTGCTTTATTTTCTGAGGGAAGCAGCCGGACTACATGTAGCACAAAACCTGTCACGGTTCACATTTGGTCTGAGTGAAACTACTCTTTTAATTCATGACACTAGCATTCTTTACAAATCCCATCTGAGTTTTAAGCACACCACCGGGATTCTTGATCTGTCTGCATATTAACGTAAAACAATCTGTTTTCTTTCAGTTTGGAAACAACAATAACTACATGAACATGGCTGAGGCCAACAGTGCTTTCTTTGCAGCCAGTGAGGTAGGTGTCTGTCTTCATGCGTCCGTTCACGTTTCGTGTGTTATTTGGATCATTTAAAAGGCTGGAAGGGAAAAGCAGAGTATCAAATTTATCTCTCTTATGTGGTGCAAGGTAACGACTCTGAAGGAGAAAAACCTTTTGGAAAAGAAAATGACCTGACAAGACTGTCACTTATCCGGAGGCTGTTAGGAACGTTAGTAATTCACACACATCTCTTGATGAAAAGAAATGTACATGCCAACAAAAGTAAATATGTAAGACAGCACATAAAATCTGTCTCTCCAAATTGGCATCTAAGCAAATAAGTGGTTATTTTGAAAACTAGGGGGTGGAAGAGACTTTTAATAGAAAGTATTTCAATTCCACAAAGCTCTGGGGATAATTTCATTAAGTTGCCATGGTTTGGGAAATGATGTGGGGGAATATAGTATTATAGTTTCTTGGGTCTTCAGTGGGAGTGATGTGAAGGGAGTGTTTCGTTTTCTTGTTAGATTCCCATGGACCATTACAGTACCTGGCACATAGTAGGTGTTCAATCAATACAGAGAGATGGAATGAGTGAAAGGGCACGCTCCAGGACTTGGTCATAGCAGGGAAGACTGGATGATGGCTCTGGGTTTGTCTACAGCTTTACTGGTACAAATGGAAAAAACAAACAAACAAACAAACAAACAAACATCTTCTTGTTGCTGTTTTTACTGCATTCCCTACTCACTGACCTAGGGCTGCTGTCTGAGCTCATTGGCCTGCCCTTCCAGAAAAACCTCCATCTTGATTAGAGCAAGAAAACGGTTTCCTCACAAGTGGCAAACGGTGAGATCTAAGATGCTAGAACAAGAACAAGCAGGTGAAATTGGTCCAAATGGAACATTCCCTCTTGTGGTCCCCGTAATAAAAAGTCTTCATTTTCCAACTACGTTCACATATAGGAAACCGAACTAGCCTGACCCCAGAGGATGGAAATCATAATGGCTTTGTAAATGATCTTGGTACAGGGAAGCAAGTGGTATGAAAGAAATGAAGTTTGCAAAATTATTAGAGAAAAATGGGGAAGCGAGGATTAAGGGTATTCCTAGATTAATCATTTCTGCAGTGGCCATCATCTGTCTAACCAAGAAGACCGCCTACATAAGGGATATTGTCTGGCACTAGCTGCTGTGTTGTTTGTGATAATGAACACAAACCCCATCTGTAAGGACAACATGATGTTTCATTCTGTAGGATTTTTTCCCTACATTTGAATCAAACATTGATGAAAGCTCTACTGCCAGCAGCTGTTCAGAGACAATTTAATTCCAGCTGTGATAATTCACCGTGTCAGACATTGGCTGTTATATGTTGATACAACAGTTCTCCAGATTTGCATTTTTATCAAAAGGAACAAATGTTTTGAACATTTCAGTACAGATGGTATTTAACCATGTACATACTATTTTAACATGTTCAAGGTAAACACTGAAAAGCCAGTATCCGTAAAAAGTAATCACTATAGACTCCGAACGACTAACCTGATAGCGGTCAGATGGCGGAGTCACAAAAGTCAGTGTCTTTTTTGTTGGTACTGGTGCCAGACGTGGTTATTTTTATAATCTCAGATTTTTCCGGTGTTTGGGGTTACTCTTTTCTCTAAGGAATGCTTAACTTTACCTCTCTTTTAAAAGTGGTTTAACATTTTAGCATTTTCTTGGTGATTTATTATAATGTCACTTTATTAGGTTATGCTACAGCAATATACTCAATTCTAACTTAAAATTAATTTGTTTTTGAAAAAATTATACCATAGGGACACATTATTCGTAAGACACCTCTCTGTTCCTTAACGAAAATAAAAGTGAAAGCCTCCTTAATTTTGACCGCCTAGCATAAGACGTGCTTTATGTTAGAGTTTTTAAGAGCTAATCTTACGCCATGATTTCACTGTACATCTTGAACAAAAAATAAAGCCCAAGTAAATGTTAATGCGCCACGTTACAGCATGTGCCTAATTTCCCGATCATTGCGTTAAAAGTAAATTTATTTGGTTTTTTAACATTTTAATGAGTGCAAACTAATTCAGGAAGACTTTAGGTTTGAATGCTGTGAAGTCGAAATTGTGCCTGAAACCAATTCCCTTCACATAGATATTGCCCTGTAGATAACGCCACAGGGACTGGGATACTCTGGGTTGGAAATTCACACATTTGCTTTATGTTTTCTGTCTGTGTCATGATTACCCTGACCATTTTTAAAGTACTTTAAATATTTATTGAAATAATATTTCAAGTGTTAATTACAGTGGTAATGAAAACAGCCAAATGCCACATATCAAGAATGAGTGTTTATCCGTATTGTTAATGTGATATGTTAGATTTCATTAAGCAGTAATGGGGTAGCAAATGAGTCACAAATTACAGTTGCATCTGTTACTAGACCACATTAGTGCCAAAATAACGGCAAATGCAGCCATAGGGTTACGTTCATTAGCCAACCACGTTTGTGGCCAATCCATCCCTTTGTGTTTGGGAACTCGGGGCACCACAGTAAGAAATTGACGTCTTTTGGGGGGTTAATATTAGAATAAATATGTCAGAGAATCTAATACTTCATTCTAGCTTTCAGAGATGTTTTTGTGCTATAATGTTTTTGCATATACCGAATCTGCTGAGAACCTCAAGGTGTTCACCTGTCCCACCGTAGACTCCCATAGCTTGTGACCTCTTTATTTCTGGTGAGATACAATTAACAGTGGACAGGTTGTATATGCACAGAATGTTTTTTTTTTTTTCCCCTTCAGTTTGTTTCTATTTTCTCTCAAGTGGTTATTATGTATCATCATTGATAGTTCGAAGAATGATGGTTTTCCATTCTTTTTTTTTTTTTAATTTTTTTTTTTCAACTTTTATTTATTTTTGGGACAGAGAGAGACAGAGCATGAACGGGGGAGGGGCAGAGAGAGAGGGAGACACGGAATCGGAAACAGGCTCCAGGCTCTGAGCCATCAGCCCAGAGCCCGACGCGGGGCTCGAACTCACGGACCGCGAGATCGTGACCTGGCTGAAGTCGGACGCTTAACCGACTGCGCCACCCAGGCGCCCTGGTTTTCCATTCTTAATTAGTTCTCTTAACCGATTACAGCAGATCCAAATTAACTTGCACCGGTTAATTCTTCAAAAAATGGTACTAATAGTGAACTATAACTTTGATCCTCTGAGCTAGAAAGAATATCTGACCCCTTCACCCTACCCAAAAGAATACCCTAGACCTTGACTACTGCCCCCCGCCCCCCCACCAATCTAAGTTCTATTTTAAGAAAAGTGGTTGGTGTAATAGAACATGGAAGCCCTCATTTACATCAAAAGGCCCCGTTTTAAAACACCGTCTTTAAGGATCTAAGGTCCTTATTTACTTAGGTCTTGAGAGATAACACTTGCTTAAGTAAACGAGCCAGTACAGTTAGTACATGTATATCAGTGTATCTCTGTGCTCATTCTATAGATAGTCTTCCAGACTTGAAGACTCCTAAAAATGTTCTGATAGATACACATTAAAATCATCATAAAAGCGAATAAGTCCCCCTTATTATTTTAACTCTCCTTTTTATTTTATTTAAAATAAAAGCACTGGGACCTTTTAATATATGCTCTGATAATCCTTATGTAAAATTTTGTATTCTGAACTGTAACAATTTCCATAGAAGCGTTCTCGGCACTTGGGAATATACCCATAAGGAACTTTAAAAAGCAAACCACCAATTTCATATTACTTGTTTGATATGTTGTGGCAGAAAGTAAACATGTGTAATGTTCACTCCTGGATTAATGTTGTGTGTGTGCACCACAAAATCGTCAGCATTTTATGAAGCATGTGGATAATGTAAGCGGTTTGAGCTGTTTCGCTAACATATCAATAAAGTGGCAATTTGTTATATAGCCAAATCTAATGTCTCTGATGCTCCAACTAACAACAAAGACAGATGTTGCTAATTAAGTACGCATTAAAAAACTGTTAATACTGATACTCCATTAAAACCATATGATAATGAGACTTAAATCTTTAATCAGACTGATCAGCAAAACTTTATATATGGAAATCTGTGTTTAAGATGTTTTCATTTGAGAAATAAATATTTGGCCTAGCTATGCCGTGTTTTCATGCAAAATCTTTCTTCTTCCCTCCAAGGAGAAATAAGATATAGGAATAGAATATGAAGATGTCTGTGTTTTGTTTCCTTTTAGCAGACATTCCATACGCCAAGCCTCGGGGATGAGGAGTTTGAAATCCCCCCTATCACGCCTCCTCCAGAATCAGACCCTGCCCTGGGCATGCCCGATGTTCTTCTACCCTTTCAAGGCCTCAGCGATCCGTTGCCTTCCCAGGGAAGTGAATTCACACCCCAGTTTCCCCCTCAAAGCCTGGATCTTCCTTCCATAACAATCTCAAGAAATCTCGTGGAACAAGATGGCGTGCTTCATAGCAGTGGGTTGCATATGGTAGGCACTACATTTATTGCTTGAAAGTGTTTTTTTTTTTTTAATCATTGCACTTCTCATGGTAAAGACCAGGAGTCTATGTTCTGAAACGTGCTCCGCCTATCTACTGATGGGCGTGAGGACTGTTCTTCCTAGTGCCATTTCAGTGCAGGGACAAGAGGGTTATGGGTTGGTTCATGATCACCTAAAGGAGGATGACCCAGCAAGATCCTTCCGATTTGAAATGATTTTCAACAAGTCTGATTCGTTGGCTTGGAATTAGCCAATCTTCCCTTGGCTTTGGTTTACCACAGAGATGTCCTCGAGTTAGAAGTTTGCCCAGGAGAGATTTGAGAAATGGAGGCCCTTATCTGGTGCCGAGGTCTTTTGCATTTGTTGGATTGTGACATGATGTTTATTATGGTACATGTTCTGTTCCTACCTCAAATGAAATCTCAAACTGTGATACGGAGAAAGGGAAGAAGAATAATTTCTTATAACCAGCAGAGGAAAATATAGAGTGAGTTATTGTGTGAAATATACCTAATTGTGTTATTTATTGTCATAAACACGGAATAAGGCACTCCAGAGAGCCAAGATCACTAATGCAATAATTTTGGTTCCATTTTTCTTAGTGTGCAATTATAGTTAGCAATCGCCAGAGTAAATCTGCTTAAGTATTTTAAACTCTTCTGCTGGGATTTTTTTTTTTTTTTCCCCATCATAGTGTATAATACATTTGTGTCGATCTAGGTGAGGTACTAAGCAGACATTTTAAAACAAGATTAATAGTTTATAGGGCTTTTTTTTTTTAACCCTGATAAAATGAAACAGATGTGTTGGTATAACAAAAAACAAATCCTATTGCTTGTTTACATATTTCTCTGCACGTTAGGACCACGCCAATGATGTTTATTGGTTTCATTGTTAATTCCCCAGATAACAACAGATGATTGCAAAGTATGTAGTAGATTAGCGCTGTGAAGATTCCGCGTGCTCTCTGAAATGTAAGATTGCTTTCCCAAATAGGATTGATGCAACAGAATTTTCTTTTGCCTGTGATCTCTTGTGTTTGAGCTGAACATCGGGTTTTTAGTTTTCCTTTTTTGTCAGAAAAGAAGCAGCAAGCAGTCAGGAAGTGGTCATTAAGTATTCATAAATGTTCCTCACCCTCACAAATAATTGTTTCCTGTGGACTTCCTTACGTTTTTGTCCCTTTGACACTGGAATGGAGGGTTCTTGTCCTCTGTTCCTCTACAGTCAGGCTTGCAGTGCGGTGCCTGGAAAGTCATAAAAATAAAAAAGGGTGTTTAGTCACCAAGGGAGTTTACCAGGGCTCACCATTATTCATAGATGCTCAGCAAGGCCGATGGAAGTTGCAGAAATAGTTAAAAGACCATATAATGCGTGCTAAAATGTGTATTTTATTAAATTGGTAAATATTTATTAATAATATAAGAATCTGCCTTTGAATTAAACATCTGATGAATTACCTTGCCTTAAAGCTATAAAACTGTTATTGCTGCTATAAAAAAGTGTAAAGGAGGCATTTTGACTATGAAATTTCATTTCATGGTCAATTGAATTTACTATATTGGAAAGAACTAAAGATGGAATCATAAAATAATTATGATATTCACATACACTTAAAGAACAATGCTTTCACGGACTGGCCTTGGGAGAGAGGACTCAATTTTTAATGCTTCTTTTGTAATGTATTGCTAATCACTAAAGCAGTTGAATTATTTCATTGATTTTTAAGGGTATAAGTACTTTAGCTAAGTGCATGCTGTTGTCATGGTATTTACATGGACCTCATCACATTTATTGGTGCCTTTCTGAAGTTTCGCTGAACCTGAGTGATATTTATTTTGGCTTGAAACAAACTAATCTTGTTGAAAATTCTAGCAGAATTTCACCTTGAAGAAATGTCATGGGATTTTAAATCACAAATGTTGGAAAAAATAAAATGTACTTGGACAGAATTATGATGAATACAACGTGTCGTTGGCTTTGTTCTGTGTACTACCTGACATGTTCACCTATAAACTTGAATTCAGAATCGCCAGAGGCATGGTTAAAAATAGGCTATGTCAAGGTTCTTCTATATCTCCCTCCGGGTACCGAGTTGGCTGGCTACATCATAATACTCCACAGCAGCTCCTCAGAGATTTCCCTTCGGAAGGTCACCAGAAAAATAATAAATAATACTTTATACATCATGCATTCGGCTTCCCAGTGTGCAGTGGATATTTCATACCTTATGCAAGTAAGAAGTTTTATTATCCAAATGAATATGGCTGTCTGTTAAGGTTTGCTGTGGTGAATTAAGACTCTCATAGAAGAAGAAAAGCCAGCTTGTTTATGTTGTATCGAACCAGCTTTTCTTCAGAGCTTCATTGGTTTTCCTTTAGAAAGACTTGACAGTTTTGTCACATTACTGATTAGCTGCATTTTTGTTGGCAACAAGCACGACGTGTTTATCTTCCTTAAATTTATGCCATCATATTTAAAAACAGAAAGCAGGAACAAAAAGGAGGGATTAAAAAGAGCCCAATGATTAGCATTCACATTTCAAAATATGCAAATAATGCCCTCGTAGTCAGAAGCAAATTGTTGAAAAATTGAATGTCGATGCGTTTGTGAGTTCAAAGAACAACCTTGATTTGCTTGTGGCGGATGTGTATATTTTCAAACAGGATGTGGTCGGCAAGTCAAAGCCAGCAGTGTATTTTGGTTAGAAAAATCTTTACCTCTAAGCATTATTGTCAGTTCAGATGATCATCTGGAAATTATTTTAATCTACAAAAGATTGCAATTCTAAAAATCTACAACGTGCGCTCCAAAGGGTTGGCTGGTTTTTTTTTTTTTTTTTAACACCTCTCTATAATCTGCCCAGCCTGCTGAGTAGCATTGACATCAGTAGTACATCAATTTCAGAAAGTGGATTATTTTTACTAGACAGCTATTGTGACATATTGGGTCAGTCATAAATGAAAGATATTCATGCAAGCATGCAATACTTGTAATGAAGTCTCACTCTGACCTTCTGTATGATTGATTCTGTAATTTAGTTTTCTCAGGCAGTGCCTGAAATGAAATGAAATCATGTTGAACAAGTTTTGAATACCCACAGTGCACCAGGAGAAGAAAAATCTGCAGCCCTAGAGGCTTGAGAGAGAGCAGCTGAACGATTTATCTCTGTGCTATTATAGCCTTTGCCAGCGTTCAACATTTCTTTTTTTTTTTTTTTTTTTTTTCTTATTTGGCTTAAGTACTTAATTCTGCAGGTAGCTGTAAATGGGAAAATAAAATGCTGTTCAGATTTAAAATGACAGGACAGGAGTATGTGCAGGGGACTGATAAAATATCTTGAATAGAACTGACCTTTCATGTAGCTGAAAGTTACTGGGGGATTCATCCTCATAATTACCATATAGATTATTTTTATTTCTTTCCTGCAATGAAACATTTCAGAGAGCAGTAGTGCTGATTGAATGAAAATTGAACTTGTTAACATTCTTTTCAGCTTAGCCTGTTGTACATAACAGAAGGTTAGCTTTGATGAATTTCAGAATTCTCTTTGATATCCAAGAAACAGACAGTAAAATAATTGTCTCTGGTCTGATATTTTGTATGCCCCCCAAAAGAGAATTTATAAAACACACTGATAATTCACATACTTTTTCTTCATACATTATATTTCATGTTTAGAGGACTGACATTTTCAGTTTGATATTGCTTTGGATTTCATTGTGATACCACATGTTTATAGAAAACGCTACTCTGGTCGCTCTGGTAATATCAAACGTAGCGTGAGGGACCAGAAGAGGATGGAAGTAAGGGAGGTGTATTTGAGTACGGGAGTCTCTGTACCTAGTAAGGAAAAAGAAAAAGAGAGATAAACGTCCTATGGAAGAAACGCATGCCCAGAAGAAAATTAAAAGCTTTTAAAATATTCATAAGACTCTGAGGTCACACTCTATACACAGATGCCACTTTTGACCAGAGAAATGGGAATATAGCAAAATAGCACATCTAAAATTACCAGGCTTATTTTCCAAGTTTTACTTTTTCACGCCATCATTTGTTGTGGCTCCAGTTTCGAAGGTGAATTATTTTTGTTTTTACGAAATGACTTTCATGCCGTTTTTATACTTTAAAAAAATCTTACATTTAGAGAAATAGACTTTCAATTAATACATTGTTTTAGCAATGTTGCCTAATGTGTTACAGATAAAGCAGTTATTTCATGGGTCATTAATGTGTTTAATGCGTGGAACGTTCTATTAAAACAAGCCCTTATTATTGTTATGAACATGCTCATTGCCATTGTCAATAGGGTCTGCAGAGTTGCATTCCACAGGATTGCCTTGTAGCCACTGGAGGGACCAACAGTCTCTCATACAAATTGAATGATGACTTCGTTTAGATTTATTTTTGGTCAAGTGATGGTCAAAAAGCATTCTTATTCTAAGTTAACACTGGAAAAGGCACAGCTTACCTAAGCAAAACACTCGCTTTGAGTGGAACTAATTCAAGTCCAGATTGTATAATTGAAACGGTGTGAACCTTTAACAGATATTTGCTTAGACCTACTAAGTGCCATATATTGTTCTTAACCGTTAGAGACTAGACTGATTACGCTATTTATAAAGTTGTTTTCTTGGCTACCAGTGTCTGTTCCATGTAATACAAAAATCACAGAGTCTGATGACTATTTTACAGATGTTTGTCATCCAAAGTCACTTTCCAAAAAAATTTTTTTAAATGTTTTTATTTATTTTTGAGACAGAGAGAGAGAGAGAGAGAGAGAGAGAGAGAGAGAGACCGAACACAAGCAGGGGAGGAGCAGAGAGAGAGGGAGACCCAGACTCTGAAGCAGGCTCCCGGCTCTGAGCTGTCAGCACAGAGCCCGATGCAGGGCTTGAACCCACAAACCGTGAGATCATGAGCTGAGCCGAAGTCAGTGCTTAACCGAATAGGCCACCCAGGCAGGTGTCCCCAAAGTCACTTTTAAT